GAGAGTGGGGTGGGGGGGGGGGGAAGCAGCAGTATAAGGGTTGGGGATAGCAAGTGATGGAGAGGAGGAGAATAGAGGGCAGGCCAGGGCTTCAAGGAAGGGGTGGGGTATTGGGGGAAGGATGGAGCGGTAGAACTTGGCTTGTTCTGTCATTTAAAAAGTGATCTTGGGTATAAATAGGTTGGAGACCACTGGTCTACACATCCAGGCTTGGGCTGGCGCACCAACATGGGAAAGTCCCAGAAATCTGGCTGCAGCCTGAGACTGAACATCTACATTTGCATTAAACAGCCCCTTTACTTGAGCCCAATGAACCTGTGTCAGCTGGTACAGGCCAGCCACAGTCATCTGAGTGCAGTGTAGACATATCCTGTAGCAGTTGAAAGGCAATTAATGTAATTCATTGTTGCTCCATGCAACCAGCATAAAGAAGCTATAAAGACACTGAGTGACCCCTCAGCATTTCACAGGGGAATCTAAAGCAGGCCTAGAATTGCTGTGCCAGCTCTCACCTCTTTTTGAGGGAGGGAGATGTATCTTGCTGACACAACCATTCATTGGTCCTGTGGGCAGTTGGGTACAAATTAGAGAAGTCTCTAGGCTATGCTACCCTGTGCCAGGGGCCATGTCAACATCTAGTAGCTCCTACATAGGGAAAGTGAAAAGCCACTTTTGCTCCTCTCCTTCTCTACCACTAGGCCAAGCTCAGCTAGAACTTTGGGATTAATTTAGCTTCTTGTTTTCTCTAGCATTGCATTTTTCAAAGTGCAAGTGGAGACTGTCTTGTATAAAACGTTTCATTTATTTCCACAATTTCAATCAAAACTGTTTTTTCTTTTTAAAAATGAAAACCACCCTATTTTCTGGGTCTGATAATAACTTCCTGATGTGCCTGGTATGGCATGATGTGGTTTGTTTGTTTGTTTGTTTTTTTTGTTAATCACCATCACTGATTTATGGTGCACTTTTCAAAGGCATTTTTATTTTAATTGAACATTGTCCCTACAGAGTCTAAAGGGAAAAAATATACTCAAGTGGATTGTCCCTTACAGTATGCCACTCGAGAGAACATATAGTGATATATGCAGTATCCATGTTCCTTAAATCAAGGTTATTAGAAGTATTAATGCACATCCATGTGAAATTTCCATATTAGTTTGATTAAAAATAGCATATCTTGGAACAGTTACTATATAAGGCAAAATCCTTACTCCTTGACTTCAGTAGAAGTTCTCCCTGAGTAGGGATGGCAGAACATTGCCTGTTGAGATAAAGGGTAAACTGTTTATTATGAAGTGACTGGATATGTTTAAAAGAGGACAGTCCAAATAGGACTGGTAGGATTTTGTCCAAGAGACTATGATTTGAAATTTGTAATGGGATACAAATCCTTGTATTACCTCTGGGTCCAGGGGTCCTCATACTTCATTGAACCTCGACCCCTTCTGACCACAAAAATTATTACATGGCCCCAGGAGCGGGGTAGTGATGCCTGAGCCCTGCCGTCCCAACTTGGGGAGAAAAGGGATTCAAATTCCATGCTCCTCTATCACAAGAGGGGGGGAGGCCAAAACCCAAAGGCTTCATCCCCTGGCATGGGCCTGTAACTTGAGCCCATTTGCCCAAGGCTGAAGCCCTTAAGCTTCGACCTCAGGTGATGGGGCTTGGGCTCTGGCTCTGGGCAATGGGACCTGGGCTTTCACTTTGACCTTAGGCCCCAGCAAGGCTAAGCCAGCCTTGGTGACCCCTCTAAAATGGGGTCATGGCCTCCTTTGGGGTCACGACCCATAGTCTGAGAACTGTGGCTTTAGGTTATAGTTTCTGGTTCACCTCAGGTGGGCAGGGACTGTAAATCCTCATTTTCTGATGGCTGTGGCAGCCTGTGTGAAATGGAGTCTAAGTGGTCTCAGTCCAATTCAAGTATAATAAACTGTAAAAACAAGTTATTGTGTTTCCATGTGGCTCATAAACAATGTTCTCTCTAATGTTTTCCATCCATGTGTGAATAAATTTTGCTATGTGCAATACTGGGAGAAATAAACCTAGCTGTGTGTGGTTTACTAATCAGCTGGATTGCGTTGAAGACTTTCCGGAGTAAGTGCACAGCTTATGGGGAACACTGCATTGATGACGGTATAGCCTCTGTCTCTGCAGTGGCTGAATAAAACAACTGGTTAGGAACTCTAAGATGCTTTTGGCCATTGTGATGAGCAGAAATACCAGCCTATAGGAGGCAGCCCATCTACTAAAAATCTAATACTGGCATCTGAATGGCTGAAATTTTGTGTTTTTGTTTCTGATGAGACACATCCCTACTGGCTAAGACACAGATGTGAGTTCAAAAATGATCCCACCTTTTTAACCATTCACCTCTTTGTTGGCTCTGGTTTGTAGGGATGTCTTTGAGAATCTGTGATTCTCCTTTTTGTGATGAGCTTTTTTAGCATTTGCATTTTCAGCAGTGAGGCTTATAGGCTTATCACCACTGCCCCGTTTTGCTCACAGGTCCTGATAAGCTTTTTGGTGTGAATGTTTGTCCTGTTCCCGAAATTCAATTACTATATGTATATTACAGTAGCTCTTACAGGTGCTGACCATAACGGAGCCCACACTATTGTGGTAGATACCTTGTAAACACAGTAAAAGATGGCCACTGCCCTAGAAATGCTTATTGTCTCAATAGATAGGGCATGAGAGGAGATCGAGGTGAAGTGACATGGCTTTGGCAGTTATGCTACAAGAGCAGGATCCAAGTCTTCTGAGTCCCATTCCAGTACACTGTGTATTCAGAGAACTTCCTTATAAATGTGAGGTCAGTAAAGCTTCTATTTTGTAACTGAACTGTTTGCTCAGAGGGAGAATGGCAAGAAATGGGCCTCCAGGCAAGTAATAGCTTAGGTAGAACGCTAACAGATAAAGCTTATGACTTAAACATCAAGCAAAGAGCCGACCACAGAAAGCGGATTGTGCTTCATGTGCTGGTTCTATCCTCAAATTTACTCCATCTTGTGTTTTATCTGTCATACTCTATTATGTTTTTCAATTTTTTTAAAGCAGTTGGTGTCTTTTCTGGAGCAGTGTTTTAATATTCAAGCGTTCGATCTCAAAATCATCTCTGCACGTATCTAGAATGACACAAACAGCTGGATGTTCCAGATATTGTATCTCATGGGTTAAAAGCACTGAAACAAAGTCTTTTTCTACCATTTTAATGGCTGGCTTGCTATCACAGATATTTTTCGTGTGACCCCTTTTTACCATAGCATCAGGCAGTCTTTTATGCATTTATCCTCATAACAACCCTATGAAGAACTATTTCCAATTTACGGTTGGGGATCTGGACACAGAGGAACTTTAGTTATTTGCCCAGAAAACCTGTAGACCGAGCAAGGAATAGAATTGAACTTGGGACTTGTGAATCCTAGGCTAGCACCCTAACTACTGGTTAATCCTTCCCTGCATAGTTCATAACTAACACTGTGTTTTAAAATGCTTAACCTTCCTTCTGCCGATATTTAAAAAGGGCTCTAGAGGTGATCCTGGTAAGTACAGACTGGTACATCTGATGTCAGTGCCGGACAAATTAGTTGAAACTATAGTAAAGAATAAAATTGTCAGACACATATATGAACGTAATTTGTTGAGAAAAAGTAAACTTGGTTTCTGTAAATGGAAATCGTGCCTTACTAATCTACTAGAGTTCTTTGAGGGGGACAACAAGCATGTGGATAAGGAGGATCCAGTGGAGATAGTGTACTTAGATTTCCAGAAAGGCTTTGACAAGGTCCCTCACCAAAGGCTCTTAAATGAAATAAGTTGTCATGGGATAAGAGGGAAGGTCCTCTCGGGGACTGATAATCGGTTAAAAGATAGGAAACAAAAGGTAGAAATAAATGGTAAGTTTTCAGAATGGAGAGAGGTAACTAGTGTTCCCCAAGAGTCCATACTGGGACCAATCTTATTCAACCTAGTTATAAATGATCTGGAGAAAGGTGTAAACAGTGAGGTAGCAACATTTGCAGAAGATACTAACCTACTCAAGATAGTTCAGACCAAAGCAGACTGTGAAGAGCTTCAGAGAGATCTCAACAAACTGATTGGGCAACAAAAAGAGAAATGCAAAGTGCTCCACTTAGGAAGGAACAATCAGTTCCATACATACAAGATGGGAAGCGACTGTCTAGGAAGGAGCATGGCGGAAAGGGATCTAGGGGTCATAGTGGACCACAAGTTGAATATGAGTCGACAGTGTGATGCTGTTGCAAAAAAAGCAAATATGATTCTAGGTTGTATCAACAGGTGTGTTGTAAGCAAAACTCGTGAAGTCATTCTGCTGCTCTACTCTGCACTAGTTAGGCCTCAGGTGGAGTACTGTGTCCAGTTCTGGGCGCCACATTTCAAGAAAGATGTGGAGAAATTGGAAAGGGTACAGAGAAGAGCGGCAAGAATGATTAAAGGTCTAGAGAACATGACCTTATGAAGCCAGGCTTCATGAACTGGGCTTGTTTAGTTTGGAAAAAAGAAGATTAAGGGGGGACATGATAGCGGTTTTCAAATATCTAAAAGGGTGTTACAAGGAGGAAGGAGAAAATTTGTTCCTCTTGGTTTCTGAGGACAGGACAAGGAGTAATGGGCTTAAAGTGCAACAAGGGAGGTTTAGATTGGACATTAGGAAAAAATTCCTAACTGTCAGGGTGGTCAAATATTGGAATGGTGGAATCTCCCTCTCTGGAGATATTTAAGAACAGGTTAGATAGACATCTGTCAGGGATGGTGTAGACGGAGCTTGGTCCTGCCTTGAGGGCGGGGGGCTGGACTCGATGACCTCTCGAGGTCCCTTCTAGTCCTATGATTCTATGAAAATGGCAAATGAAATGTAATGTTGATCAATATAAAGCAAAGCACATTAGGGGAAAAATCCCAACTATGCATGCAAAATGATGGGTACTAATTTAGCTATAACTACTCAAGAGAGATCTTAGCATCATTGTGGATAGTTCTCTGAAAACAACCACTCAATGTGCAGTGGCAGTCAAAGCAAACAATGTTAGGAATCATTTAAAAAGGGATAGCGAATAAGACAGACAATACCTAACAAATGTCAAATAATATCTTATTGTTCCTCTCTAAATCCATGGTACGCCCACATCTTGAATACTGCATACAGATGTGATTGTCTCATCTCAAAAAAAAAATATTTTGTCATCGGAAAAGGTTCGGAAAAGGGCTAAAAAAATGATTTGGAGTTAGGAACAGGTCCCATATGAAGAGAGATTAAAAAGACTGGGACTTTTCAGCTTAGAAAAGAGGAGACTAAGGGGGGATATGATAGAGATCTATAAAATCACGACTGATGTGGAAAAAGTGAATAAGGAAAAGTTATCTACTTGTTCCCATAACATGAGAACTAGTGGTCACTAAATGAAATTAATAGGTAGCAGGTTTAAAACAAAAGGAAGTTTTTCTTCATACAGCGCACAGTCAACCTGTGGAACTCCTTTCCTGAGGATCTTGTGAAGAGCAGGACTTTAACAGGATTCGAAAAAGAACTAGATAAATTCATGAAGGTTAGGGCCATCAATGGCTGTTAGTCAGGGGATGTGTAGGAATGGTGTCCCTCACCTCTGTTTATCAGAGGCCGGAAATGGATGACAGGAGAGGGATCATGTTATTGTTACCTGTTCTGTTCACTCCCTCTGGGGCATTTGGCACTGGCCACTGTTAGAAAACAGGATACTGGGCTAGATGGACCTTTAGTCTGACCTAGTATGGCTGCTCTTATATTCTTGTGTTCTTATTTGCCTGGCCTGAGTTGTTAGGTTGTATTTATGTTGTATTGTAGTACAAATTGAACCTCCTAAATTGGGCAAATCTGTGGTCCAGTAGGATCACGGCTGTTGCTGGACTAGAGAGCCCCGGTGACCTGAAGTGTGAGCCGGTGAGGAGTCAAGTGGCAGGAGAGCCCCACCATTGGGGGGGGCCCTGTCCTGGAGAGTTCCAGCTGGGCGTTTCACAGTGGGGCAGCTGCGGACCGCTTGGCTGGGCACAGAAGCCACAGAGCTTCAACTCGGCCAAGCAGCTGCTGAGTCCCATCCCCAGGAAGCCCCGTCGGGACAGAAGCAGGGCCACAGTGGCTGGGGAGCTCCGCTCCTGGAGAACACCCGTCAGCAGGCAGAAACAGGCCAGAGCCATGCCCCAAGCCCTGTAGCAGCAGGGATGGAGAGGAGCCAGCAGGAAGGAGGGTCAGTGTCCTGGGAGGCTGGTGGAAGGAGACCTCCCTTGTTGTGGCAAATTTCATCATTCGGGACTGGTCAGATCCTGAGGGTGCCGGACCATGGAGGTCCAACTTGTATATGCTACATTAGTGTACTGTCATTTTTAGTGACTACAAGCCAGTGGTTAAACATGGGCAGGAACAGATATGTATCATGGATCAAAGTGGCTGTAGTGACCTCTCTAGAATTTAATTATATTAATAAATATTAAAACACAACTAAAATTATAGCTTAGGCAGAGCGTGTTTAACCTGTGTTTAGAAATCCATGGCAGTGAGTCTGAGCCTGGGTCTACAGACTCAGGTTTGCAGGCTCATGCCATGGCACTAACAATAGCAAAGTATACATTGCAGCTCAGGCTCTGAAGCAAGCCTCTATCTGTGCACTTGGGCACAGATACTCACCACTGCAGTTTTAAAACAGGATGTAGACCTACCCTCTGTCCGTCCGTCCTTCCGTCCTTCCTTCCTTCCTCCCTCCCTCCTGGCCATGGTGTTTCCTACAACTGTATTCTTTTGTGTATCCTAACATGCAGTCTGCAATTCATATTTCTGTAGTCTTGATTTTGATACTGTAATCTTGCTCATGCACAGATGTGAACTGATCTGTAACTGTGGAGATGGAGTTCCTCTTTGGTTGATTGACAAAGTTTCTTTTGTAGCTTAGGAAAGAGCTCTGCCTGGATTAGGGGACCTTCTCTTACATGATGATCACTTCTCCAGTTGCCCACAACAGGTACTGGTTGACCTACCCTTCCCATTTCTCTTCATTAGCCAAGTTGCAGGGCTGCTAGTCTCATTTCTCTTGCCTCCTCTTCCTTCTCACTAAGTACACGATGACCAAAGATCCTGGCATCTAGCCTGGGCAGCTACAGTGCTCTGGTCCATTTCAGACCTGTGGTTCCCATTGTCATCTTTGAAAAAATTTTGGGCGAGGAGGAAATCAATGCAGACTGCATTCATTTTAGAGGTAGTTTGTCCAGATGGGCTTGAATTCGGTTCTGACTAAAACTGCAGATTTAGTGAATTTGTAAGCAAACATAAAAGTAACTTTCCAAAGAATTATTGGTGCCTGGTTTTAACACCTGTAAATTTTTGTGGAACAGTAGTTTCTCGCTGTTTACCTTGTGTGAAATAGTAATGGCAGATTGCCTCTTCACATCTTGTATTGAGTTGGGTTCCTGAACTCAAGAATATGCTCATTTCCCTATCAAAATACAGTCTTATAGCAGTGCATGTTTGGAGTCAAAGGATTGTGTTGGAATTGTTAGCCTTTTTACCACTGGCTTGCCCATGTCGTCGTCATGTTAATATCATGACTCCGAGGTAGGGAGGAGTTGTTAGGCCTGGCCCACTTGCAGTAAACATTCTGCAGTGTTCAGGATGTGCAAACAATTTAATTGATGATATAGCATCTTGTTTTTTGTCTTGAGATTGAAGAACAGAGGAAAATAACGTGCATTTTTCCCATCCATTTGGGAGCATTTTATTTCACAAATTATTTGCATTTCACAGTCCTTGGATTAGCAGAAATTATTTCCATGCATAATTTTTTTGAGGGGGTGGGGTACAATAATTTGGCAATAGTATCACTCTGAACAGATTCTTTGGGCAGTTTTATTCATTAGATGGAGCCTCGTACATACATACTATAATGCAGACTTAAACAGAACTGATCCCACTTATTATGTGAGATGACATGCAGCTATAAGAAATATATTTTAATTGCAATAATGTTTTCCCTATCTGTCCCCTGCTCAAGATTTGCCTTGTTGGTTTGAAATGCACACAACACTCATAGAAATAGTGCTTCTGCTCAGTGGTGCAAGTAAACAGAAGTTCTTACCAGTAGGGATGTCAATGTGTAGACTATATGATTAACTGATAAGCCTCGGCTTATTAGTTAATCTTGTCAACCACATGCATTTCCCCCTTCCCTTGTTGCCTCTCTGAGGCAGCAAGGTGGGGAGGAGCAGGAGCCGATAGCTTTTAAGCCAGCTCCTTGTAGATGGCTCCCCACAAGCACCAGATTCACCTACCTCCCCCACCCCTGCACTTCTGCAGGAGTGTGGAGGATGAGGGGGGTAGGCTGGAATGGATAGGCATGGGGAGCTGGCTTTCAAGCCAGTTTCCTGCATGTATTGGCTCTGCGGAACTGCCTGCCCTGCTCCTTGCTGCCTTCTATTAGAGGCAGCAGTGTAGGCAGGGAGGCTGCTGCGAAGCAGCCTCTGTCCACAGCGAGCCTGGGCATGCTATGGGCCGAGGCTGCTTCATGGCAGCAGCCCCTGTCTGCGGGTGGGTTTGAGCTGTCCATGGACAGAGTCTGCTCTGCATCCTGTGGAACAGACTGTCTGTGGACCCAGGAGCTCAGACCCCTCCATAGGCAGGGGCTGCTGCCACCCCACGCTGCTGCCTCTGTATCAGAGGCAACAGCGCAGGGTGGCAGGGGACTCCCAGGAGTGAGGTTGGCTGCTGGCCCCGCCCCTGGGGACTGTAGTTGTATAACCGCACAAAATATTATCAGTTACACAACTGTTCATTTATACTATATCTAATATCCCTGTTCACCAGTCTGGGACGAGGGAGGGCACAAAAGCTAAGGGGAGGCAAGTATGTGACTCCGCCCTGCCCCAAGCCTGGGCCCCCACACTTTTCCCTTTTACTCCCCTTCCAATCCCACAGTATGTGGAGCGAGGGCTGGGGCATTATGGCATCTGGAGGAACTGCTGGCAGTTCTGCTGCTTTCCTTGTTGCCCCTCTCAGTAAGGAAAGAAGCAGAACTCCTGTGTGAAACCAGAGCAAAGCTACTGAAGTCTGTTGTGAAACAGGGCTCAGGCACTGGTCCCCATCCTCACCCTTGTTCCTTTGTAGAGCTGTTGTGTCTGCATCCAGAGCTGCAGGGGCAGAGCAGGGCGAACAGTTCTGCTCCTTTCCTCATTGGGAGGGGCATAGGAAAGGGAGCAGAATGGCTGTAGTGCTCCCAGCCCCACCTCCTAAGCACCAGCCCTATACACAGACCTGGCAGTCAGCGGAGGGGGTGGCTGGCATGGAGTCTTTCTGGTACATAGCTTACTAGTTCCGCAGACCAGACTGTACTGGCCCACTTGCACATTTCTTGTGCTAAAATTTCTGAAGCCTTAGTTTGATATAATGCATTTTTATAGGAGTAAAGGCATTTAGAGATTAACTTATCCCCCCCCGTCTCGCCATAAAAAACAACCCTCCAGCAATCCCTGGCAGGACCTTGGTTACAGACCAGTTGTCCAAATTACTTAGGAATTCAAAATTTATTATATAAAGCATTCTTACTCTAGGAAATTACTTAAACCCTCCTTAATAAAGTACAGTTTGTCAGTCAACAGTTGCTTTATGTAAATACAAGTCAACAGAGCTTATGCAAAGTTTTTGTTTCTTTATGGGAACATCATTTTATAGTACACATTGAAATAACACATTTCATACTTAATTTTCAGACTGTGACAATAACTTTGCCCCCTCTTTCTTCTAAGGTTACAGATGCATATGTTAAATGGGGCCCTCTTGGCATTGCTGTTTCCTGTGGTTAATACCCGCCTGGTGAGTAAACCACACCTTGTTTTCTCCTCTGGCTTTTTTATTCTGTACTCTTGGAGTTCACTAGTATGTACTTTCTTCAAAAATGCTGTTTCCCTGGAAAGTGGTTTGACCTTTGCAACAGGCTTAGGCTTTGTCAACAATACGCAGCTTTATAGGGACACAAGGTTTAGAAGTGTAAAAACTGTTTCATAGCTTTTGTCCACAAAAAAAAAAAAAAACCCTCCTCTCCCCTCCCCCATACCCTCATGAACCCCAGGCATTTACATTGTTGGCAGGAGACCACTGCTACTACTATTCACACTAGCACTTGCTAGGGCAAAGCTTTTGTCTCTGGGGGTGTGTATGTATGTGTCTCTTGAAGCAGTAAAAACAAATTGCAGGTGTGGCACATCACCCAACCTCCCAAATGCAATGGAAAGTTTGACCATTTGTAGTTCCACACTGCTTGTAAATTGATGATCACAGAAAGCTCTAATTTCCTAGCTTTGTTTTTACAAGGATTTCCTTTCTGTGAACATGCTGTGTGCACCCCATTTTGCATAATAAATTTGTGTGACCAGTAGTCGTGTATTTTTCTGAGTTACCTGAGATGTGGGAAAAGTGCTGGCTTGAGAAATTCATACAAAATGGATGGAAATTGGTCCCAATCCTGAAACATAGAAATAGCATTTTTAAGTGGTTTGTCTTTAAAAGAATTAGAAGATAGAGCTTGTCATACTCAGATGGTGGATCCATCAAGTTGGATGTCCTGTCTTCAGTAGTTGATAACACCTTACTGCACCTGGAACCTTGTGGCAAAGCTGCTTGTTGTAAGGTCTTTCCTGATTGCTGCTGCAAACAGCTGGCCATCACAAGACACATTTTGTTCTTAAATGATTGTTTTTAATTTGAATTTGCAACAAGAGAGTTACACGATATTGTTCTCATGGGGATAGCAGGCTCAATATGCGGTTGTAGAATATGCTTTAAACTACAAAATCTTTATGCGCTAGCATTGTTCTATAATACATATGCCCAAAGAAAGCAATTCTCATGGGGGCTGGAGAGGGCCTGAACTGAAACAAACAAAATTCACTCTATCGTGTGCTGCTTTGCAGCAAATTGAAAAAGGTAGTATCTCCCTCTAACTGTGGCATGAGGGAGAAGGTACAACGTGACAAGTTAAATATTTGTGGTCTGATACTATACTGCCTTACACTTAACTTGTCTTTACTAGGGAAGATGTGTGTTCTTAACATAACTTCTTAAAATACTAGTGAAGGCTGGTTAGTCCATACTTAGCACACAAATTAACAGGTGAAGTTAAGGCCTAGGTTCTCCCTTATTTTTTACTTCAACCTGCTAACAGATATGAGAACGCACACTGTCTTGTCTTTGTTAGGCTTTTACTTCATGTTTATTAACTCCGGTTAGTAAAATTAAACTAACCCACATTTTTTTCTAGTGAGAGTGGAGCCCTTGTGTCATCTCCACTGTGTTTATTCTCATTCAGGAATGTTTTACATGTACATAGGTGTAAATGTTCATTCAAGATGCAAGGCAATGCAGAATCAGGTCCAAAGTGCCCACCTGGAATCTCTTATCTTTGAAATTACTTGCTCTTGTGGATTCATATCAAACGCTAACTTCACAGGGAGTTGACATGACTGCATTTGTAATGTCAGCCATGGGAAAGAACTGTTTGTTTATTCAGGCAGTCAATTCCATCCTGGTCTTTCAAGAAGGGAAAGGTTCATAGCTTTTAAAAGATATTTCTCCGTGAAGAAGGTCCAGAAAGGTTTTACAAGAGGGGTGAACAAATACTGTCCCATGGGCTGGATCCGATCTGCCAGGGTTAGCCTCTGGTGGGCTCCCACCCTGCCCTATGTAGCTGTACCTTTGCAGATATAGGGATCACAGTTCCCGTTGGCTTTGGATCGTTGTTCCTGGCCAATAGATGGCAGCTGCAATCACCAATACCTGCAGAGGTGCAGGTAAATATAGTGGCAGGGGCCAACCAACCCCTGGTTTACACAATGTGAGCGCTAGATATAAATACCTGTATTTTTATCTTGAGGCATGGACAAACATTAGTGTATGCCTCATCTATGATGTGCATGGGTATGGTACGGTAGCTAGGCGTGTTACATTTGTAAATGCATAGAATGTACATGTTAGGGAGTATTTATATGCATACATCAGACATAAGAATTGTATTCACTCTGTTTCTTGATTCTGAGTTTTTAAATCTGGGGCAAACTCAGATGCTGAAGAGGTAGTGATAGCTGAATTTATCATCATCTGGAATAATTTTTCCAATTGTGAACTGTTTGTAATTGGTATTGGGGGTAAATGGTAAGACAGTGACCTACTGAATCTGAGCTATGTTAAAAATGCCAAGAGATTGGCTTTTAAGAGAGATTTATTTTTCCTTGTTATATTATGTACATACAGTGCTTGTTCACTGAGATGCCCGTCAAAGCACTGAGAATATGGTTATAGGTAAATGTCATTTTATTTAATGATGTTGTTCCATGTGGATGGAAAATATGGTACTTGATTACTGAAATTCTTTTATGGTTGCACTTATAGTAGGTATAATTTAAAAGGGCAGCAGCTCTTAAATTTATCTACTTAATGAAATATTTGTGTAACCTGCCAGTTGGCTAGCCCAGAATAGGGTTAATGATATTCTTCACTAGTAAGATTACTGTGTGCTTTAGCTGAGAGAAGTTGTAAGTATTATCATAAAGCCAGAGTTACTGGTTGTCCATTTGCAAATCCTGACTGTCTTTCTAGCATTGGTCTACATAAAATCAAAGTAGTCTCATTTGTATTGAATTTTATTAATCCCCCTAGATGGTTTTGGTTGATCACTTTGTATCCAGACCGTGTGAGGTCCGTGGCTGTGTCTAGACTACATGCCTCTGTCGTCAGAGGCATGTAGATTAGACACATAGGCAAAGTCAAATGAAGCCACGATTTAAATGATCGCGGCTTCATTTGACTTTGCCAAACAAACAAATCTACATGGCTCCGTCGACGGAGCCATGTAGATTTGTTTGTTTGGCAAAGTCAAATGAAGCCGCGATTTAAATGATCGCGGCTTCATTTGACTTTGCCAAACAAACAAATCTACATGGCTCCGTCGACGGAGCCATGTAGATTTGTTTGTTTGGCAAAGTCAAATGAAGCCGCGATTTAAATGATCGCGGCTTCATTTGACTTTGCCAAACAAACAAATCTACATGGCTCCGTCGACGGAGCCATGTAGTTTAGACGTACCCCATCAGTCCTGGCATATAAGCATTGTTTCTAAAAATTCAAAACATTTTAGTGAGACACAGTACCATTACCAGAACAATGTATTAACAGCATTCACCTGCCAGATTACACTTTATAAATAAACATGAAAAATGATTTGAGAAACGCAAGGTTAAAGATGATAAAATTGGTGGTGGTGTTTTGTTTTGTTTTAATGATGTGAGTCCTTCTCTGTAGTATAGTATAAGTTTCTGCTATAATTGAATGAAAACCCAAAAGACCAACTATGCCCAGATGAGAAAAAGGTACAGTGGAGGGCAAATAGAAAGATCTTGGGTGAGAATTAACTATAAGTTATTTGAAAGGATGAGCTACCAACCTTACTTATCAAGAGAATAAATAGATTGTATAGATGTTTTCAACTGGTGGGTTGCAAGGCATTGAATATGTTACAACCTAGAACAAAGAGAATCTTGTTCCTTCTCCTTGCATCCTCTTGTCTTTCAAGAGGTAGACAGAATATTTGATCTAGAAATTCACACACAAATTATGTGTGTATCATTATCACTGTTATTTCTATAAATAATAAAACATTTAGAGAATATAAAAAAAATTCTCTTTGACTAAGAGGTTACCAACGTGAAAGGCTGGGAAACAAAGCATTAGGTAATGCAAAATCAGATTGTCAGTGTCAAGTGTAGGAAAAAAATTAAGGCATAAATATAGGAGAAATAAGCACCTGAGGAACTAATGCAGAAGTGCTTTGCATATCACTATGTGCATTAATTTTAGAGTGCAACTGTTTTGCTTGAAGCTGGCAGTTATAGGATTTGCCAAATTCAGTGGAATTACTCATGCTTAAATTTAGCTATGTGCTTATCTTGATGATTTGGAGACCATAGTTAACATGAGAAGATAGCGATGAGGAGTCCTGTGGCACCTTTATAGACTAACTGAAGTGTAGGAGCATAAACTTTCGTGGGCAAAGACCCACTTTTGCCCACGAAAGCTTATGCTCCTACACTTCAGTTAGTCTATAAGGTGCCACAGGACTCCATCGCTTTTGCAGATTCAGACTAACACGGCTACCCCTCTGATACATGAGAACATAGGACAGTATATAGTGTTTCTGAAGTTGAGATTTCTATCTTGAAGTAATAATGTTAAATATATTTTTAGAGTTGGATTGTTTAGACACTGCACAATATGAGTGCTAAAAGAATAATCAATTTAAATTCGGTGATTGGCATGCTCTGTTTGAAACTCAACCCTTTGTAGAGTGGCAGTAAATGGCTTAAACGCACTTAAATGTCACTTAAGTGTTCAAAAGAATTATTTACCTGAGTAAGAAGACCTTCACATTGAAATCCCAGTATAGTCCGCATGCAGAAACCTTGAGACCCAGTAATTCCAGAATATAGGCCATAGTACTGTGCTGTCCACATGTGTCTATTTGACTGGTTGAGTATAGCTAGTTCGCTGTAGCAATAGCAACTATAGTGGGTACTGCTTAAGAGCTGGTTGGACACCAGGGATTTTTGAAGTGGCCCTGGGCTGCTCTGGCAGGGGCAGGGCCTAAAATGGAAGGGGTAGGGCCAGGATGCTTCCAGGCTTCCTCACCCACAGACCATGATTGGTCGGGGATGGGGTGCCCCTTTGCTCCCCCCTTCCTATTAAGCACCTATGCCCCTGGCAAGGCAGGAAGAAGCTTTGCATGCTCCCCCACCCCCAGGCCAATTACGGTCTGGGGGTGAGGG